GGACAGTACTGACGCAGAGTCGATGGGAGGACACTATGCCCTTGTATATCCCAAACGATCTTTTGGCGTCAGCCTAAAGAAAGACATCGACCGGGAGATACTCTTTCCAACATGTACATAGATATGCAGCGCACTTGTATCTTATCTGGTTGTAGATTCATCGGACACGCTTGTTTTATAAGAATAGATACAGAAATACGTTGTTCTCTTATCCTTCCGTTCCCGGCATCGTGCTCACACCTTTAAATAAGCATCAAACCAACCAGCTGCCTGGGCGAAACTCTTCTCCTTGGCCACTCTCTGCTGCTTAATGTCCATGTTGCAGCGAACAGCATATCCATGTTCGACATGCGAATAAACAGTTATCTCGTAAGGATGGCCCAGCTCGGACAAGATGTCTTCGGTCTCGCGACGTTTCTCGGTCGGGAAGAGGTAATCCGACGCTATGTTAAGTCAGTCCCTAGCCTTTTTGCTCAATAGTTGTTGTTGAAACTTACACGCGGCAGAAATGCTCAATGGCCCCTGAATACCTTTCAATTCATCCACCTCTACATGGGTGGGATGCGCCATATAGCCTACGTCCAACAGCCCGGGCTTGAGGTAACGAGCGACGTACTTGCCCCCATAGCAGTACCCAACCCCTCCAATGCGCTGACAGCCAAGTTCCTGGCGCATGTAGCGAAGGGTTCTATCAATTACCGGGTCTGTCACTGGCGGGAGGTGGTTCTTCAGCCAGGCCATGACGTCGAAATTCCCCTCGCGCTCGACGGGCACCGGATCGCCATTGAATAGATCCGGCAGGACCACGAAGTAGCCATTTGCGGCAAATTGGTCGGCAATCAGCTGGGAATTGACCAACTTGGGACCGAAGATGTCGGAGAGAAACAGGATGGCATTGTGAGTTGATTTGTCGGGAGGGTAAGACACATAGGTGAGGACTAGTGCAGGAGACATGTACATTAGGATGAGACCTTGAGGAAGTCAGGATGGAGTAGGGAAGCGCCTTACTGTCATCTACTTTCTTCAATTCTCCCTTGGGAGTACCACTGTGCAAATGGCCAGCAATGCAGCATTGGGCTGGAGGAAGAGAAGTCATGCTTTCAGACTTGCTGTCGCAGTCAATGTTGCCTTACAAACAGAAATAAATCGGCCGGCAGGGATATGGAAATATGAATGCTTATTTCTCTCTCCCGTCCCAGCCTTCTGGAGAGGGCTGCCATTTCCGGTGATTGCCTTCCCTGCGTGTAGTAGGGCTTTGCATCGACATGAGCTCATCCATTATTTGAGGAAGGGGGAGTGGAAACGCCAACCGCGAGACACGGTGGCATCCCGGTTCCATCCCTGTCCGGCCATGCAACCATGGAACCTCGACGATCATTACTGGCATTCCTCGGAAGGGAAGCTGGTTTTGCGGCCACGAAAACGCCTCCCCCCTTACATTCCTACTAGGGCTGAAGGGGAGAGAAAGGAGGAATTGGCACGGAAGCGGTCTGAAGCTGCTCAAGCTCCGACTATACGCCCCTTTCCTCCCTTTCTCTCTATCTCTCTCTCTCTCCCTAATTTGCCCGTGAAGTACATACTGAGGTCAGGCCCTCCCTGTGGGCTTTTGTGCTTCACTTGCTCTGTCTAAGCACCGACACTGCAGCGGTCATGCCACACCTGTTCGCCAACTCGGCCTTTGGCAGGATCGCCTACCTCGTATCCGGTGGCCGTCTATTCAAGCCGCGCGAACTCAGCTCCGACTTCACTTTGCCTACGCCATATCGGCAGGCAGTCAACGACAGGCCAGTCCAACCATCACAAGAGAAGAAGAACACCTCGGATGCGGATGGAAGTACGTTGTTTAGCCATGCGCTACCCCCCGACGAGGCGTGCAAGGAAGTTGATGGGATTAAAGGGGAAGCCTTCCCAACACCGCCCGAATCATCGGGGCAGTCATCATCGTCGTGGATTGATCCCGAGGTGACGCCAGAGGGGACCATTGTGGTGGACTGGTACTCCCCCGATGACCCAGACAATCCGCACAACTGGTCGTTCGCGGCCAAGTTGTTGGTGTATGTCGAAGTAAATCTGTTCACCTTTCTGGTCTTCATGGCCGCTGCCAACTTCGCTGCCGCTGAGGGAGAATTCGAAATTCTCTTCGGGGTAACGCAAACCGTCAGCGCCCTAGGGCTGGCACTCTATGTGCTGGGCTACGGCATGGGGCCCATGATCTGGAGTCCCATGTCTGAAGTGCCCTCCGTGGGTCGCAACCCACCGTATGTGATCTCCGTCACCATCTTTCTCATTCTCGCAATCCCCACAGCCCTAGTCAACAACGTGCCAGGGTTCCTAGTCCTGCGTTACTTGCAAGGCTTTTTCGGCTCCCCCGGACTGGCCACGGGAGGTGCATCTCTGGCAGATGTGACCTCCATCCCGAACCTCCCCTATGGTCTATATATTTGGGGAGCATGCTCCATTGCTGGTCCCGCCATAGCGCCGACAATATCGGGATTCAGTGTTCCCGTAAAGGGCTGGCACTGGTCCATGTGGGAGATCCTATGGGCAGCCGCGTTGTGCTTCGTGGCCCTGGTATGTACTCACTACTACCCTCGTGGCGATTGATGGCCATAGTTGGCATTAACGGACATGTCTTGTGCTGACCGTCGTCGCCTTTCCCTTTTTCTTGCCAAAACCAGCTCTTTCTCCCGGAAACATCTGCACCTGCCATCTTACACTTGCGAGCCAAGCGGTTGCGCCAGCTAACGGGCAACACGGCCATCCGGTCGCGATCGGAGATTGAGTCGCAGAACGCCAGCCCCATGCAGGTTGCCTACGATGCACTAGTTATTCCATGGAAAGTTAACGCACTAGACCCGTCCGTGCTCTTCACGACAGTCTACATTGGGCTAGTGTACGCCATCTTCTACTCCTACTTCGAGGTGCTGCCGCTGGTATACCTGGACATCTACCACATGAGCCTGGGCGAGCTGGGGCTAATCTTCCTCGGCTGCGTGATTGGCACGCTACTAACACTCCCCTTTTACTATGCCTTTGTGCATATCTCGCTGAACAAGGCCTTCCGGCGTGGTCAATTTCCCCATCCCGAGCACCGGCTCATCCCCGCCATCGTGGGCAGTGTGTTTATCCCCGTGGGACTCTTTCTGTTCGCCTGGACCTCGCGGGCTAGTATTCATTGGATTGTACCCACCATCGGCTTGGTCATCGAGGTATCCGGCATGACGTTGGTGCTGCAGTGTATTTTCAGCTACCTGTCCGTAGCGTATCCGAAGTACAGCGCTAGTCTGTTTGCCATCAACGATCTGGCGCGCGCCAGTCTGGCCTTTGCAGCCATCCTGTGGTCTGGCCCGCTGTATGCTCGACTGGGAGTGGCACGGGGCACGACCCTGCTGGCTGGTCTGACAGTGGGCTGCATTGTGGGAGTGCTGGTGCTCTACTGGTTTGGACCTGCATTGCGAAGTCGCAGTCGGTTTGCAACTTAGCCGAATCGCCCCAGAAGAATAGCCTTTGTGGTGAATCATTCCAGTTACACAACGCGTCACGTTCCCCAGAACATTCATGATAATAATAGAATTTCTATTCGGAAATCCATGTAAAATTAATTCTTGCTTCGTCTTTCAGAGCGAATGGAAACACTACATGGAGTAAAGATATAATGACCTCTTTATCCATGCTGATCGTCATTGCATCATGTATTTTAGTGCTAGGGCATGAGCTAGGGTCATCGTCCTATGGATAGCCATCCTGAACGAATCTGATATGCTGTTGTTCTCTGTAGACGTCGTCGCATTCGTAGCAGAACTTTTGGGCAGTCGGTAACATGTATTCTTCTCTAATGGGACCCCTTTAATTACACAGTAAGTTTGAGAAGCTATGGTGGTGCACACTTAGCACGCATGTGGCTTCACCCATTGAGATCTAGTTTGGAGACTAGCCTTCGTTTTTCTTTTATTCAAGAATATTTTGCACAGATTTAGCTACTGCTATGCAAAACTAACGTTCCAAAGATAAAACTGTTTCGTTCTGCACGCCTGAATTGTCCATGGAATATTGGTTGAATCCAGAATACAACACTCACTAAGACTATCTAACAAGAAAGGATGGTTGCGCTTCACACAAACTCAGCGTTCACTTAGCAATGACATGTATCAGAGACTCTCTCAAACCTTTAAAGGATTGATAGATGCTTCCTAAAGACTTAATTCAAAGAATGATATTGCTCTTTCGATCATTCGACAAGGTAATTGGATTATATATTCTTGAGTATCGGTAGTATATAAATACTTTGGGGTTCTGACAGCAAGGCAAGTCTAGTCCTGTCAAGAGAAATACTGATTATCTATAATCTGGATCTTAGCATTCTTTTCTTCTTCCAACGGAGATGAAGATAATATTGATATCTTCAATTTTTCACACCATTATTATATCAGATATGTTTTACCACTGCACAGACACTCAGGAAATTGAATTTTAGATATCTATCAAGTCGGCCCGGTAAGTACCAATAACGATAAAAGGACCTGCATTCTACACATGGAATTATACACTATATAGAGCACTGCCTCTCAATTACTATAGCCGTGGGTACCTTTTAACCGCAGACCGGCTTTAAGCAGCAGGCAGACTACGCTTATGGCCGAATACCGTAACTCTTCGCCTTTGACAGGTCTCTTTCGCAATCTATCCAGTAGCTCACACCATCAAGTCTGGTTCAGCATAAACAGCCGTCTCAGGTGTGAACCATAGAACCATTTCGGTAGGCTTGCCCCCTTGCATCCCCCCTGCTTCGAATACCCACCAATAGGGGAATATGGATCTATTACCCTGCCAAAGAAAAAATAAAAATAAATTAAATGAATCGAGAGGGCAAATTAATGATACAACGATGATTAGAATGAATGGAGAAAGAAGCAAAATAGTAATTTTACTAGGACGGATCGGATAAAGTATAAAGATTGATGTCCAATTGCATTATGATCCTTTCGAATGAAAATATAGTTCTACCGCGACAACAGATCCAACGCGTGGACGCGCGGCTGGTACCCGTACAGTGGATTGCAAGCCCATTTCCAGCACCACACGGGGGCATAGGTGAAGGCGATCCGGCGTGCCAGTGGCCCCAGTCCGTACGGGAGGCGTCCTGTATGCACCTGTGCGAAGATGCTGGAGTAGTACACGAGGTTGCGTGCCCGTGGCTCTCGGCTTTTGCGGAATTCCTGCAGCAAGCCCTGCAGCACCTGCGGATCGCCCGACTGGCCGGCAAAGTAGGTGTGCAGCAGGTTCGCCAATTCTCCCACGTCCTCAATTGCCTGGCAGGCGCCCTGCAGCGGAAAAGAAATCTAATTAGCCGTGTTTCTCTTCCCCCCTCCCCCTGGCGGAAGGATTGTCTCGGAGAAATGGGGTGTTACCTGACCAATGAAAGATGTCATGGAGTGCGCCGCTGAGCAAGACAATGTCGAGTTAGTCTCCGATCCATTCATATTCCCTTTTCTTTTTTTTAATACTTCGAGGATCAGATTGGCTCCTTACAGTCTCCCACCAGGGCCACGCGGCCATGCGCCATCTTCGGGAAGGCGGTTTCCTCAAACACATCACTCGCCGTCACGCGTTCGGCCACATCGACCACTACAGATGAGAGTGAGTCAGTCACTCAGTCCACTAGGACAATGTGAAAGTGGAAAGTGTGGGTGGGAAGAAGGAGGGGGAAGCAAAGAAACAAGTGAGACATGCCATCGCGTACGGTGTGATTCTTGCCAAACGGATGGAAGCGGTGTCCGTAGCTTTCGTTGATCATTTCCTTAGTGGCACCTTTCCAAGTGGATCGTGTGGTGGTCTTGGCTTCGGAGGGCTAATCCAGCAATTACAATTCATACAATTCATTAGTCTGAGGTCCGGTGATGACAGCTGAGACAGGGGTGCGTGGGAAGAGGAGGGGGAGGTAAGGGAGTGACGGACCTTTACCCCGACAAACCATTGGCGATTCTCGGTACACGGCCAAGAGGTGAGAATACAGTCATCGTAGAAAACCCAGGTTGCCACGCCGAGATCGTTAGGTCCGAGATGCTCCAACGGATAAGAGATGCCCGTCATGTGGGTGCGCCCGGTGAAGCGGATGGTGTTGACGCCTGCCAGCCCTTGCTTGTCGGCAAGGAGCCGCCGCACGATCGACCGGATGCCATCGGCGCCCACGAGCACCTCACCGCTGAACTCGCGGCCATCTGCCAGGCGAATCTTGACCGTCGGAGAGTTGGGCTCATCCTCAATGCCAACAACCTCAGCTCCCAGGATGACGTGCTCCGAATCCGCCCGGTTGTACAAGGCGCGGTGCATGCTGTGCCGGGGCATCGAGTACATTGAGTAGCCATATGTTGGCTCGAGCCATTCAAAGTCAAGTAGACTCCAACGGGTAGTGTTGCGATAGACCTGAATCTTTCGCAGCGGCTGGCCTTCCTTTCGAATAATGTCCATGAAGCCGAGTTGGTCAAGCAACCGGAGAGCATTCGGGGCCAGCGAGATGCCTGCACCCACCGGGGTTACCTCGGCAGTACGCTCGAACACCTTGTAGCTGAGCCCAATTTTCTTACAGATGTTGGCCAGCGTCAGCCCGGCAATGCCGCCCCCGACGATTAGGACTTGGACATCGGCCTTAGGAGCCATTGTGCAATGACGCCCTGATGGGAAAGAGATAGAAAGACAAAGGGAATAGAAAAGATAACCCAGGAAATAACGGCGAAGCAAAGAAAAGGGATAGAGAAAGTGGTGGTGAGAGAGCCCAGATGATAAGCTAAGGGAAGAAGATCAAGAACCGCTTGATTGGGCTGTTGGTGAAGATCGAGTCTGGGTTTTGTTCATCGCAATCTGCTGGTACTTCTTAAGTATCGCACACAATGCCCTTACACGTTTAGCAGGTTTTTACTGTTTCCAGTTCTTGTAGATTTTGCAATGCGGCGGCAAAACAGGTGCAGATGGCCGCAGCGCCCAGAGGCGACCCTCTTTCGAGTGTCTTCGAGTTCCTTATCTTTGTTGTTTGCATGCAGACCTAGTTCTGCCACTCTTTGCAGGATATGGTAAATAATGGTGATCCGCACTGTAAAACCCAGAAAGGGTAAATCCATATCCTTCAACTCTCGTGCCTTGCATCTGTCGACTCGAAAAGGACAACCGAAGATACGACTAAACGGACTCCAAACTAGCGGTGGCCGGTGTGGCCTGAGCAAGGTCCGCTTGACATTCTTTCATCAAAATAAGCTCTAAAACCTCTGGTATACCAACATAAGTGTAGTAAGGGTCTTTACTATCGTCATCCCTTACTAGAACAATCGTGTCAATGAGAAGTTGCTCTGTTCTTCATGCTGTTCTGGTCTAGCAGCACCAGCACCAGCACCAGCGTCGAGTGCAAGTGCAGGGGCGTTACAAGAGATTCTAACGTAGGGATGAATACCTCGACAGATACCAGATTGAATCGATTACTGAACTAGGTAAAGAAACTACTAAAAGTGAAGCACATATCACCATAGCATCCAATCTGCCGCTTTCCCCTTCTCCGCTCACACAACGCCAACTCGTTCACATGGACGCAGATTTCCGAGGGGTGAGGCGAATGCGCGCATCACCTTGAAGCCAAGGACTGCCGACTTTGCTAAAGTCCATACGAGAGACATCAATTTTGGCCGGTCCTTGACTTCCCCATTGGAAATCGTAGTTCTTGACCAAACGCGACACCAGTTCACGTGCGATTATGCCGGCCATATTCTCCCCAGGGCACCGATGGGAGCCCGCGCCAAATTGCAGGAATGCCGCGTCGGTGGCGTTGTTAAGGTTCTGCAGGCGCGCCGTTGGGTTCAGCCACCGCTCCGGCAGCCACTGCTGCGGCTGCTCATAGATCTCGGGGTCATGGTGGGTGAGATAGGGCGAGGTACACACTACCCAGTTCTCGGGAACCGTATAGCCATCCTCCAGCTGCACAGGGCGATGGGTCGTACGCCACATGTGTACACCCGAGTAGTGACGGCCACTCTCCTTGACGCACGCCAGTAGCACAGGAGACTGGTGAACGTCCTCATTACTTTGGAAAGACTGCCGGATGGCCTCCACGTACTCTGGGTTCCGGATCAGCTGCAAATACTGTCAGCTTGGTGATACTTATGGGCTGGAAGAGAGTTATAGAAGCAGAAATTGAGTTAACAGACCTCCAGAGCAGTCCAGGCTATGCTGGCCACAGTGCTCGTGTGGGCGGCAAACATGAGCACCGTATGGTGCGACGGATAGTATTCTTGCAGATGGGCCGTTCGCGGATCTTCCAGTGTATAGGTGATATAGTCCAGCGAACCCTTCCATTTTTCAGGGTTCTGGCGGCGGATCTCCATTTGCTGGGCGAAGATCTCAGCGAAACGGTCTCTGGCCTTGCCCAGTCGTCGTGCTGGCGGGTGAGGAAACCAGTCCGGCAGTAAAAGATTCAGTGGGTGGCCGATCTCGTCCTCCATCCGGTGCACAAGATCGTAGAGCTCGTCTACATGTTCATCGTAGAAGTCTTGTCCCATAAGAGTCCGCACAATCACCCGATGCACATACTTGGACGCCTCTTCGAAAACTTTAATGTCCGATTGCTGGCTCCATTTAAGCAGCGCCTTATCGGCCTCTTCGCCCGCAAGCTCGGTGTAACGATCCAGTGTCACCTTGCGATTGATACCGCGATTTAGAGAGCCCACCAGATTGCGGAAGTGGTCAAAATACCCAGGGATGGCAATTTTCTTCAAGAATATGCCCTGTGGAAGGTCAGAATGATGTTCTTCTCTTTACAGTAGGAAGAAGGAGGAGAGGAATGGAATGCCTACAATACCGCCACCAAACGACCAGATATCTTCCTTGACATCCACGTACATGCGATTAAGCTGAGTACCTCTCAAATAGACAATGTTCGCAAACAGTATCTTGACATGGAAGATGGGGCCACACTTGCGCGTCGCATCTTGCACGAAGGCGACGGGGCGGTTCAAAAAGGCCAATGCGTCGCCAACTAGAGGGTATCCCAGTCTGGGTGATGGGAAGGCCTTCGAGCCTCCAGCTCGGCGCAGCTGGAAAACCACCAGCAAGAAGAAGAGGGCTCCTGCCACGACTATGGGCTGCGCGAGCAAATGCTCGTCGTAGGCCAAACGGGCCTGCATAGCCTCAATCATGCTCGCCATCACTGGTAGTCAGCGGTTAGACAGATTCTGAGATGAAATTGAGATTCGAAGCAAGAGGTGGACAATCTATGTCCAGGATTGCTCCTCTGGTTCCTACCCAAGACATAAAAGTCCTGTGGGCCTCCGCTTGCTCTGAGGTGAGCCGGTTGCGCCGCAGGAAATGCCCGCCGAGTCAGGGCACCCCCCAAGACAGGAAGTTCGAGACCGAGGATCTTCAAAGTTTGGCTGCAAGAAGCAAATCCTCCCGGTTTCCGTATTTCGGAGGGGGTATATTAAAATGTCTGATGCGGGGAAGACCATACAGGTCGCCCATCCATATCTTTCTACAATGGTAGTGGCTGCAGGGATTCCCACCGCAATTTGGGCACGAGTGCTGGCCAACCAGTACCACGCACAATGGTAGCGGTGGGTATCTTCCAGCCTGGCTTATATCCTTAGAGGGAAAAGGCAAAGAAAGCCCCTACATATGCACATTCCCCCGAAGCAGGTGCAGAAGAAAGTCCCGTTGACTTGAAGTAGGTGCCGCTGGAGATCGACGACCTACCTCCTCGCAGGTCGGAATGCTCACTCGGCCCGACAGAGATGGTAGAACACCTTCTTGGATGAATTTGCTGCGGCACCAAGCCAACAACGAGGGAGTCGCCAAGATCTAGATCGGCTCTCATCTGATGCTTCCACACCTACGCCAGCTCGAGCAGAAGCGCCTACCCTGCTAGATTCATAGTTTCGATGAGGCCCTGCGCCTTCCAGCCCTTGCACCCGCACCGCCCTCTCAGGTCCGCCTTAAATCACCTGACTACTCTAGTACTGGTTGTCGAACGCATCGTGCGCGGACCCAATGAACTCATTTTAATTCCTCTCTACATTGGAACGTCGGTTTCAGGTTTGGTCGGTTATTGAAGTCCTCTGGGGGAAACATTGATAGTCATTCATTTAGTCATGTGTATAGCTTCATGTTTCTGGAGTGGGCAAGCGGTAGAAAGCTGGAGTGGGCGGTCAAATTTTCTGTGGCTAACAAATTCTATCAGGAGTTGCATGTGGAGATCTTTTGCAGCCGGACGAGTCTTTAGTGTCCTTCCATCAGGGCTTCCCCGGGCTATTTTCATGGTTGATACCACTTTGGCACCGTTCCTTAAATCTCCACAAAAGTTGCCTGCTATATTGAAGAATGCTGAGATTCCCTGTTAGCCAATCATTTGTCACACACCGGGGCGGTCACCATCGTGTTGCTGACAATGTTGTTTTACTGGGGTTAGAGTCCTCCTTAGTAGATCCAACCCTGACTAGGTGATTGTCCTGCAGTATCCGAGATACTGCAGAGCTGCAACAATGAAAGAGGCGAGAAATCGGACCGCACTCAAAGCAAGGGTGCCTGGGGATGAAGACCACTGGAACAATGGAGACATGAGCTTAGTGCTCGAAGCTCGCCTCCTCACTGCACGAGGTTAGGCACCGGGGTTTAAAGTAATATAGAGTATATCCGCCCCGTACTCCGCGCTGGATCTCGTCGAAGAAATAACTTGGCCCAATTGGTTCTCCTCTGATTCCTGTTCTGACCCATTCTCGTAAACCAATAACAACTACCACACGGCAGCCTGATAGCAACGCGGCTAAGCTCATCTCTCTGTTGACTAGACCAATATTTCGCCATCATGCATTCGATCACTCCCTCGGAAGTCATTAAACTGCGCCAACTGCTGGCGGGAACCAATGCTGACGTTCTGACCGAGGGCGAACCCGGATACGCCGAAGGAATCAGGCGCTGGAGTGACACATGCGAAAAGAAAGCTGTCAGTGGTCCTTGGGAAAGAAACACTCTAATGATATCATATTGACTGTGAATTCTTATAGGGTGCTGTAGTTCTTCCCACTACAGCCGAGGAGGTCTCGGCGGCCGTAGTCTTTGCAAGTAACCACCAGATCCCTATGGTGGTTCATAATGGCGGTCACTCTACCAGCGGCGCCTCCGCAACGGAAGGGGGGATCGTCATCAGCATGACCAAAATGCGCCGCGTCGTGGTAGATCCCGAACGCAAAACCATCACGGCCCAGGGAGGCACCGTATGGGAGGATATCGACCGTGCGGCGGCCCCCTACAAGCTGGCCACAGTCGGCGGCACCGTCAACCATACGGGGGTTGGTGGGCTTACTCTTGGAGGAGGTTATGGCTGGTTGACAGGCCGCTATGGATTGACCATTGACAATTTGCTGGGAGCCACTGTCGTGGTGGCGGATGGCCGCATCATCAAGACCTCTGAGACGGAGAATCCGGATCTGTTCTGGGCCATCCGTGGTGCTGGTCAGAACTTTGGTGTCACCACCGAGTTTATCTTCCAAGCCTATGATCAGACGAACGAAGTGTATGCAGGCCTGCTGAGCTGGCCGGCACAGTGCCTGCCCCAGATCATTGAGTTTGTCAACCACTTCGAAGACGACACCAATAAAGGGGATATGGGCATCTTCTTTGGTTTC